GATGCTCTCTTGTTTTCTAGAAGCTTCCACAGCTGGGCCCATGAATCACCATGGATTACTTTCCCCCAAACATGAGTTTCTCCAACTTCATTTACTGAAAAGTTTCTCTCCTCAAACTAGAAGTTACCAGTTCTTTCCTCCAGAATCTAGAGGTTCTATTTGGTTCTTGGGGTCTGTTAGCTTGTTCTTGGAGACAGTTCTGAGTCTGTCCTGTATTCCGTAAACAAACGACGACAGGACCGCTGTATCCCCACGCATTGGGATCATCGTGGTCACTCCAATCTGTCTTCAGCCTGTGTTGACCCCCTTCTTCGTGCCTGATTATTTTCAACTCTGCATTTGTGAACAATTATGCTTGGGTTTGAGAACTAGGGCAGTTCCTTCCAGAAAGGGTTCTTTTAACGTCTGCTGGCCCAGAAACACCAGACCTGCTGTTTGTGGTCTGAGGCCCAGGACCCAGGCACGGACTCTGGCCCTCTAGTCCCCCCCTCTGCACAGGAGCCCGCCAGCCCCCACTTCCTGGGGCAGGCGGACGGGTCCAGGTTCGTGTGGAGGCCCTCCTCTTAGGCACCCACCGCCCACCAGCTCATGGCCCTGGATGTCCACATCCGCGGGATGGACGCGGAGTCTCGCACTGCACTGCCTTCCTGGGCTCCTGTGGTTTGTCTCGCCCTGGTCACATCTTCCCAGGCTGTCCCATTTCCACCGCTCCTCAGGAGGGAGGCCGACTCCCGTGTGGCGGCTCCTTGCAGTGAGTTAGAGCCCCTAGCCCAGTCACACTGTCACCTGTGGTTGCACATTTGCCCGGAGGCTCCCCCTGCCCCCCCCCCCCCCCCCCCCCCGTTTGATGTGTAGTATTTTCACTGACATTCAATTAAAAGTATTTCCTAACTTCAAATAGCATTTCTTCTTTGGCCCACGTGTGTTTTTAAAGTTCCTAAATGTTCTTAAATTGTCTCTTTGTCACTGAGGGCCTCCTTTGTTGCACTGAGGGCCAAGAACGTGATCTGTATCATCTAACCTTGCTGCTAAGTTACTGGAATCTTCTGTGTCCTGGTACACGGTCAGCTTTTAAAATGCTCGTGTGCACTAAGCACATGTTCTCTCCAAAGGGCACAAGGAGATCATACCTGCTGTCTGCAGTGCATCTGTGTCCTCCATCAGTGACCTGAGCTGCTGTGCGGAGAAGCTGGCACAGGGGTGGCGAATTAAACAGAAATGAGACATAGAGGGTAAAAGCCAATGAAAGAAAACTAACAAACAATGGAGGGAAATCAGCGAAGCCGAAGCCGGCTCTGGGGGAAAATGTCTAAAACTCGACAAAGCCTCGGCTAGACTGACCAGGGGGTGGGGGAAAGGGGGGGCTAGACTGACCAGGGGGTGGGGGAAAGGGGGGGACAGCAGAATCCAGCAGCAGGAACAAAAATGGGGCTCCACCGCGGACCCGACAGGCATCAAGGGAGCAACTTTACGCCAACTGTTTTGACAACTCAGATAAAATTGCTCAGATACGGCCCTGTATCTAGCCTTAAAAACCGAGTTCTTAAACTCTTGGCACCAGGGACACCGTGGGCCCAGGAGGCTCCAGCAGGAAGGCTGGGGCACGTCAAGGGGGAAGGAATGCCACTCCTGCGCTGGCCACGGCAGAGCCTGGCAAGGGACGCTCCCGGCTCGCCTCAGTCCGATGTGACAGCAAGTGTGACGCGCTTCACGCGGCAAGAACAGGGCCCACGGGCCCGTGTCCCTCGGGGGTACACGCAAGCGAAGGCATGGCGCTCGGGGAGAAGCGACACGAGAGGGCGTGCGGACACGCGGGGATCCGGGACGCAGGGCGTGAGGTCATCATATGAAAACCACAAACCGAGGTGAGAAGACACCACAGACAGTGGCATTCCGCACGAAACACGCGGGGAGAAATGCAATGAAAACGTGCAGCGTCTGTGTACAGAGAGACGCAGGGCGGGCTAAATAAACGGGGCACACACAACGCGAGAGGCTCGAGACCCGATCCCAGGATGTCGATTCTCCCCAGAGCGAGCCGCGTACTCAAGGTGACCCCTGTCAAAATTCTAGTCGCTTTTGCAAAAACCAAGAAGCTGACTCCAGGATACACACGGAAATGCTAAGACCCGGAATGAATCTTTAAAAACGGGAGGGAAACGCACACCCCGATTCCAAGCCTTGTTCTAAAGCTAGCATAATGGGGACGGCGATAGCACCAGGACAGCCTAGAAACAGCCACACCTGTGTGTCACTTGAGTTTTCACAAAGGCACCAACCCAGGAAACAAAGAGGAAGACGCGTGTATGAAGAGGGCACTGGAACATGAAGCAAGTGGCCGCCCGGCGGCAGCCGGGCACCAGGCCGCCCTTCAGCGGCCGAGGGCGTGCAGTCAGGTGCCGGGCCCCGCTGGACGGAGCGCACACGCGCAGCGAAGCGCCTCCTCGCGGTCGGGTTCCGTGTGCGGACGGTCGAGCGCAGGCAGAAGCGAGCTCCGGGGAGAAAGGCGGGTTCGCCCGCGGGCGGGGGGCTCGTCCTCGGGCACCTGCAGCCGTGAGCGCACACGGGGCAGATGGACGCGCGCCTGGGCTGCGGGGTGCGCGCGCCCCCTCCTCGGCGCTCGAAAAGTAGCCAAACCCCGGGGACGGGCCACCCCGCCAGCGGAGCCCTCCAACGCGCAGCCGGAACATCCAGTACACTGGACCCCAAGCCTCTCGCGCCGTCCTGCCGGCCAGTGGCACCGCGAAAGCAGTCGGGGCCATCCTGCACGCTGGGGTGAACGCACCCCACGGGCCCATCGCTACCACCAGAAGCCTGCAGGGCGCATGCGCACACGGGGACGTTCCCCACGGGGCTCCCAGCCTGTGTTACCACCCAGACCCGGAAACAACCGGACTCCAAAACCTCCAACAAGCGCACCACGGAATACTACGCGACAGCGGAAAGGTGCACGCTTCCGTGAAATGATATGATTGCATCTCGACACGCCAGCTAGAAGCCACACTGCCCCCAACCCCACACAACTGTGCGCTCTCGTTTCTTGCCCATGAAGTTCAGACAGGGAAGCCCAGCTTTACTGAAATCAAGAAAGCGATGCCTGGGTCAGAGACAGACTGGGTGGTTCGAACAGCAGGCGTCTGTCAGTTCTGGAGGCCGGAAGTGACGATCAAGGTGGGGGCAACGGGGTTCTGGCGAGGCCTGCTTCCTGGACCACAGACGCAGACTTCCTGCTGCGTGCCCGCGCCGTGGAGGGCCGGGGGGCTCTCGGGCCGGGGGCCTCTTTTTACAAGGACCCTGGTCCTGTGTGCAGCTCCTCCCTCGTGATCTGATCACCCCAAGGCCCCATTCCTGACACCCTCACCGTGGGAATTAGGTTCTGGTGTATGAATGTGGGGGGGGCCACGGGCCACGTGGTCAGCTGTAGGAGAGGAGTGTAGTGGGTCATCTCCACTTGACCTGGGGTTGGGTTCCTGAGCACCCACTCGGGAGGACTCCGGCCTGGGGCCCGACACAGCACCGGCTTCCTCCAGTGGCAGAGGCAACGACAAACCATGAAGACCCGTCTGGTTCTCTGGCACCTCTGACTGGAGGCCAAGAGCTCCCTCAAGTCGGTTTCTTGGATGGTAAACTGAGTCAGAGGTCCTATTCTGTTTGCCCCCATGTCCTGGGCCCGACCTCCTCCTGGGCCCTGCACCCCACACAGAGGCGCTCAGAAAGCGTGTGGCCTGGAGTGCGGAGGCCTGGCGACCGGCCCTTCTCTCGGCCTTGGCCGTCACCTGAGCCGTCTGTCACCTTGCCCTGCCCTGCCCGTCAGGCCTGGCAAGAGCCATGTGCGCTGTGTTGGGAGGGCCACCCCGGCAGACCTGGTCAGGAGATACGACAGGGGCCCAGGGTGAGGCTCCTGTGCGGGGGAGCACAGCAGGAAGGCCCGCCCCTCGCCCAGTGGCCCACGCAGGAGCCTGTGGTGGGGCCACCCCCCTGCTCAGCTTTACCGTGTCCTGACACACCCAGTTAGCACACCACCCTTGCACCGGACTCTTCCCGCAGTGACGGCCAAAGGGATGGACTGTTTGGCGGACCCCAGCGTTCCCGCTGAGACCCGGATGTGGCTGATGCCGCGGGGCAGCACCGGGGTCAAGCCTCTTCCAGGTTCAGCTCTGAGAAGCGTGTCAGGTCCCTGTGTGGACCGTCTGCCGTGAGGCCAGAGAATGGTCCCGCAGAGCCATCACCCCCGACACAGTCAGGCACTCGTGCTGGACACGGAGGCCCCGTGGGCTCGTGGGCTCTTCCCAAGTCCAGCCACAGAGGTGGGCAGGGAGATGCCGGCTGAGCCCCCAGCGGGCCTGGGCCAGGTCACCCCCAACTCGACTCCAAATCGTCAGAGCAGGGGGACCGTGGCCCTCGGGCCCCAGGCCCCTCCCACATCACGTAACAGAGAAGCCGGGGAGTGAGGCGTGGGGGCAAAAGAGAAACAAGACGCAGGTGCAGTGAGACCACCAAGACGCGTCAGATCACGTCAGACGATTTAAATCCCGCGACATGTTTTTCCGGACGCGGTATCTCCAGGGGCAGATTCACGAGTCCGACACGCCCCCATCGGGCACTCGGGGAGTCGGAGCCGTCCTCCCGCACCACGGACGCCCGGCCAGTCCCCAGCACGCCTCCTCCAAGGTTCTGTTCGCGTCAAGCGCCGCCACGGAGCGCCCGGGCCCGTCCTTGGGCGGACCCCGCCCGGCGCCCCGCTCCTCCCCGGCCGTCAGAGTTCGTTGTGGCGCGCTCTGGAGATGCGGCCCGACAGGTCCTGGAAGTGCTTCTTCACCTGGAAACGAGGGCACAGTGTGAGCCCAGCGGCAACGCACCCGACAACCACACGCGCGGTCTTAAAAGTGCAAACCCCTGGGCTTCCTGCTTGTCTCAATTTACAATTCCACCCGTCCGGAAACGGCCAAAACCAAATCCCAAAAGCAGCGAACACCGGCTGGGACACCACCACCAAATACTAACGACACACAGCGGGAGACAGATCACCCCGGAAAACAAGAGAAACGTATCTGTCGTCCACCCCACTGGCTTTCAGAAGCGGCTCCCTCTGGGAACCCGCCGTCGGCCCCGGCCCCACGGGGTCCTTTCCGCCTGCTTCCCACCCAGCACGTGCCCTTCTCCCACAGCAGCGAAGCTTGCCTGCCCTCCCCCACGACAGCGGACTCCCCTCCGCAAATTCTTGCCCCGCGATGTCACTCTGGAACCGACGTCCCCTGCGGGCACCTGCCTCCTCCCCGACGCTGCACCACACGCAGGCACAGACCCACACACACGCTCGGTGCCGCTTCTGCCCTATTTCACTTAAAAGTTTGAGTGTGAACAGGTAGGACACCGTGCGGCTCCAGACTCAGAGGCACAGAAGAAGATCCCTCCTCCCTCCCTCCCTCCAGAGACAACCCATCCCATCTGTTTCCAGAGTGTTCCATACGTCCTAGGAACAGCCTAGGCTCGAGCCCTCCTCCAAGCGTCCACACTGCCCCGCTGCCTCTTTTTCCTGTGGAGTCTGACCCAGGGGCTCTCCTCTGTCAAGAGCCCAACCTCCGTGCCTGGACGGGCACGTGATTTGTAGATCACCGGGAACAACCGAACTGGCCCCAGAGTGACCTCACTCTGCTCAGGCCACCTGCCGCTGCCCTGGGACGGTTCCCATCCTCACGAGACCAAACGAGGCCTCCACACGCACCACACCAGATTCTCAGGGGACCCCCTGCCGCAAGCACGCGAACGTGCCAAAGCCACCACCCCACACGCGCGGGCCCTCGCTCACCTCCCACACAGGGTCACCCGATCGAGTACGAGTTGGTCCACGGGTGTCCCTGGCTCTAAAGAGGCTCAGAGGAGAGGGCTCGGCCCTGCCCCGGTGGGAGCAGGCGTGTGGCTGCAGCTGGTGCCCCTACCAGGCGCCCCGAGGCGCCGAAACCCCCCCCCCCCCCCCCCCGGAGGAGGAAGCGGTGCACACGCGGGGCCAGGGAAGCTCTCCGGGAGGCCGCAGTCCTGGTGCGGACGTGACGGTCACCTGCCGGCCCCCCGCAGACCGCGCGCCCACCTTGTAGCCCAGCTCCTTGGTCTTCTCCTCCAGCATGGCGTATTTCTCTTTGTTCCGGCTCACGTGCTCTTGGTCCCCGAAGCTCTCCACGTGCTTCAGTTTCTGGTGAGAGATTTCCAGCTGCTTCTGGTAGTGGTTGTGCTTTTCAATTTTGGCTTCAAAGTGCTTAAGCTCCTCCTAGAATAACGTTTGAACAGCCGACTGTCCCCCAGCGGACTCCCTGGGCAGACCTTCCCGCTGCCCCAGAACGTGGGCGGCGGCCGCCCGCCTGGGGCACGGACCCGGTCCCGCTGGGGATGGGGCTCAGCGCGGGAAGCAGGGGGCTGCCCCCTGAGGGCGCACACACCGAGCCCCTCCACGTGCGGCCTGATGGGGCAGCTCCAGGGGGCCATCCCCACTGCCCCCTGATCGGGAAGGTGGAAGGGGAGCACGCCCACGGGCGGAGGCGCCCGCCACAACCTGACGGCCTTCGCGGGCCACCTGCCCACACCTGGCACCCGCACCCCGCCCTCCGCGAACGGAACCTGCCGGGCATCTGGCTCCCTCTGGCCCCGACCCCACATGCAGCCTGACACCTGGGGCTCGGTCTTCTCCTCTGTCCCCGCGGCCGTCTGTCCCTTCTGGAGCAGCCACCATCTTGGGAAGGCTCTGCGACACTGCCCTTCCTGTCCTTCCTGCCCGCACAGCGTTCTCGGGTCAGGCTCGCTGGCTAATCCCCCGCATCCTGATCTCGGCTAACGGGTCAACCCCTTGGGACCTCCGAGGGGGGCCACGCGCCCTGCCCAGGGCCCACGAGAGCCAACAACATGCTTCCCTCTGAACTGGGCCGAGCTCCACAAGGACGGGCCTGCCCACCCAGCTGCAGACGGACGCCGGTACGGGGACCTCTGCTGGGCACCTGCCGCCCTCCCTGCTGCGTCTCCTGCCGTAGCGTCCTGGTTCTCCCGCCCGCCGAGGACTCCTCGGAGGCCCCCCTTTCTGCCCTCCCTGACCCCGGGACTGTGGGCCCACCCCGCACACGTGAGCTCAGCAGCGGCCTCCAGGGCCCACATCTCGGAACGGCCTCTCACCCCACGGGCCCTACTCGGAGCCCCACACCCCCAGGCTCCTGTCCTAGCGAACGGCGGCCTCTCGCCTGTGCCCTTCTGATGCCCGACCCGCTGGCCTGTGGCGGCTTGGTCACAGCATGACCCGCAGAGGCGACACTCAGGGAACCCAAAGGCCTTTCCCCCTGGGCCCACTGCCAGGGTCTGCCGTTCTCCTTCCGGCCTTCGTGACCCGCGCGCTTCCTCACCAGCCCTCTGTCCTCAGACCCAGCGCACCCAAAGCTGAGCCGGACCCTCCATTCGCCGGAGGCCAGCGCTGTGCAGACGTGAACACGGAGGTCCCACATGGCTGCCAGCCAGCACGGTGAGGGACGTGGGGGACAACAGGGAAAAAAAAACCTGTGAAAACCCTGGCCTGTGTCAATCCCGGTGCGGGGAAGAGTCTCGCCACGCCAGCCCAAAGCTTAAAAGGTGCTACCGGGAACCGTGAGCCGGCGTCTCCCGGCACCTTGCTTACCCGAAAGGACTCTAGCTCCTTCTCAGTGAAGTTGGCGGACTTGGCCATGTCCCACAGATCTATCACTCGGGGTTCCTCGAACTCTGGCAGAAAGGCAGAAGCAGGCCGGGTGACTGTGGCGGCACCCCCCATGATGCCCGGGGCAGCGTGCACGTCTGGACGTGCGTGCGTCCGGTGCCCTCGGGAAGCACACTGAGCGTCGTTCCCATGTGTGTTCAGTCTGTGGCTCAAGGCCCCGTTAGCACGCGGCCCTGGCGACGCTCTCACTGCCCCGGGTTGCACACGAGCATTAACCCGCACCTCTGACAGGGAGGGTCTCCCCTGGTGCACAGCCCCCTCGGGCAGGAGTCGGGGGAGAGGGCGCGGGAGTCTTGGGGCCTCTGGGTCAGGACTGTTGTCAGGCTACCCACGGTTCTGGGCTGAAACTCAGGCCACTGCCTGTCCTGTCTCCAGGGCAAAACCAAGCACCTGAAAGGGACTCCTGACCCCAGCCAGCACTCCTGTGAAGACATGGCGATGGGGGCCCTGCTGGGCCAGTCACCTGTCCTCCAGCCCTGGAGGAAGCCCGGAGCAAGCCAGGCTCAGCCGCCTGCCCCTCCCTCAGCGGACCCTTCCTGCCCTGGGCCCTCAACGGGCTTCGCGGGGAGTGTTCTGGAAGGACCGGGCAGACCACAGGGGAAGCAGAGTGGTCGGTTGGGTCCCTCCTGGGAGGGAGTGGTTCATGCAGGGAAGGGGAGGGGCAGGGGTGGAGAGGGGCGGGGGGGGGGGGCAGGGCGGTGAGGTCAGAGGTACCAGCACCGCATGGGCGTGGGTGCCCCAGCCCCGGCCCGTGTCCCTGACCTGCCCCGTGACCCTGACCTGCCCCGCCGCGTCCCCAGGTCAAGGAAAGCACCTGCCACACCGACACTCCCCGAGCCCGTGACGGAGAACACACGGACGAGCCAGAAGCCTGGGGAAAGGGGCACCCAGGCAGGGTTCCGGCCGTGCGGGCTGTGGGCCGGCGGACCAGCGCGGGGGCGGAGCATGCGGAGGGGTGGCGTGGGACCCGCCCCTGGGGGCCGCCCGCCCGCTCACCGGCCTCGGCGCCCCCGTAGCCCCGGTGGCTGACTTGGCGCAGGCGGTCGTAGCCCTGGTTGATGGCGCGCAGCCTGTCCTTCAGCTCCGCGTGCTTGCTGTGCAGCACGTCCTCCTTGACGCGGCTCACGTCCAACGGGCTGATGACGTTCTCCCGGGTCTCTGCGCGGGACAGGAGCCGTGAGGGGCTGGCCGCGCCGCGCCCGCTGCCCGGGACTGCCCTCCGCAGGAAGGACCGTCTGTGGCGCACTCGCCCACGCCCCCTGGGCAGACCCCGGTGGCCCTCCGGGAACTCTGGGGGTTGCTGACTTCCGGGGGGGGGGGACGGGGGCGGGACCGAGGGCGGGGCCGCATGCAGGGGTGGCTCCGCGGTCTCGTGCGCACCTTCGGTTCTGCTCAGGGCGTCCAGCAGGACGTTGTACTCGCGCACTTTCTCCCTGTGGTGCTGGAGCTCCCGCCACAGCTTGGCCAGCTCCTCGCTGGAGAACTTCCCCGAGCTCTTCGCCTGGAGGAGCGCACTCTGTGAGCCTGCCCGTGCCCCGGCCCGGCCCCTCAGACCAGGCGGGACCCCGGCTCCCGTGCCAAGCGTGCGCCCTTCTCTCCCCGATGACCGTCAGACCAGGGGACGCGGCGGGAAAATACAAAGCAACGTCACCAGGCTCAGCAGAGGGGTCACGGTCACCAGAGGTGCGGGAGCGGCAGGATCCCGGAGGAGGCGACGTCCCCTGCCCCGGGGAGGGACCTCAGGCCAGTCACCTCCTCGCCATCCACCTGCCCCACGGGGCCGAGGCGACACGGTGGCCACAGCAGACCCTCGCTCCCCCTGCTCTTGCTCCGGCTCCACCCCTCGGACCAAGGACAAGGGACTAGCGCGAGAATCCCGATTCCTGGCCCCACTCAGTATAGTCCAGACAGAAGCTGGGGGATGAAGGAGTGGAGCCGCGGCCACCGCCCGGTCCCACTGCCTGCACCTGCCCACCCCCGCCCCCCTCAGGAGACCGAGGGGGTGAGCACCGCCCCGGCACGACCGCCCCGCGCTGAGCGCAACTCTCTGGACCAGACACCACACAGGCTCAAACCCCAACTGCCCGGACACAGAAAACCACAAAGCCATGTCACGCGTGAGCCCGGGTGTTCACGAGTGATCGGCCCGCTCTCCTCACTCCGGCAGCTACACGGCTCGTGGGATTCCCTGGCCGGGGACCCAGGAAGGCAGGGAGGCCTCATGGGAAAACAGCCTCATGGGTCCACGAAGAAACCACTGCCCCCCAGGAGTCCTTCTCAATGAGCTCCCGTGCAGACAGAGGCAGCCCCAGCAGTTCCCCTTAACTCTCAACGCCAGGGTGCACGTTCTGGGGTTCTCAGGGGGCCCCGAGGGGTACCTTGTGCCACAGCTTCTCCAGCTTGGGGTCTCCCAGGCTGTCGTCCTCGGCGGTGTCGCTGAGGTAGTTGCTGTTCACGGCCTGGGCGTCCTTCCTGCCGTCCAGGCCGTACTTGGCCAGGATCACTAGGAGAGACACAGGTATTACGTCCGGCCACCGGTCGACTGGCGCCGAGAGGACCCTGGGCCCAGGCTCTGCACACCTGGCCACAGAGCAGTCGCAATAGCCCCCGAGCACGGGGAGGAGCGACGGGGAAGAGGGAGAACTATGTCGTTGGGCTCGGCCTGGCCCCAGCCTCCCAGGTCCGAGCGGGGACGCCACATCGGACCCCCTCAGAACACGTCACATGACTCTCAGGCTGCATTCAGCACCCGGAAGGCAGAGGGTTCTGGATTCCAGTAGTGCTGGGTTCAGCATGAACTGGAACCAGAGACAAGCATTCAAGCCGGAAGAGGCCCCACGGACCAGGAAGCCCACCTCACGGGTGAGGCCGCTGGAGCCTTGGCACGTCCCTGTCGGGCACCGGGGGACACTGTGGTGGCCATGGTGAGGGCTAGGCAGCAGAGCGGACAGAACAGGACCCACCCGTCCAAGACTCAACTTGGGACAGGAGGGCCCTCCGTCAAAACCAACAGCCTGGACAAGGCGACGGGTCCAGTGTGGTTTGCTCCCTAAGGTGCTGGTGCAGGGCCAGGGTCACCACGAGGCCAGCGAGCCTGGGACAGACCCGGTTACGCCTGGTCCTCCCTTTCCTGTCTCAAGTCCTGGTCTGACACTGCACTTTGTGGTCCCCTAGGTGTGGCATCAGCTCTGCTAATGGCACTGGGATGGGGGGGACTGAGGGCATGCGGAGGCTCCCGGGCCACCTCCAGGATGCGGCCAGCGGCCTGCACAGGGGGAGGCCTCCAGCTCGCCGGTCCGAGGAGTCCTTCCACCACATCACCTCAGCATGCAAGCAACCCGTGCCACCCACGCAGAAACAGATGGCTCCACCGGGACTGGACCCCATCGGGGCTGGGAGCCGCACCCAGGAGGCCACAGAGGCCGGAGGGAGACGGGGGCCGGCCCACCTTTCTACGCCCTCCCACTCTTCTGCCTCAGCCCTGCGCCATCCACTGGGGGCTGCTTCCTTCCAGAAAGGAGGACGTACGAAGGTTCCCGGGCCCTCCAGTGCCTTCTCTCCTGCTGGTAGCTCCAGGTCAGGCCCTGGGGAACGGCCCCCCAAACACCGGCTGGGGGCAGTCATGCCTAGTGTCCTCTCAGCTTGGGTTGGTTTTTTTTTTTTTTTTTTTTAATTTTGTTTAATCTTTATCTTTTTTTCAGAGACAGTGTGAGTAGGGGAGGGGCAGAAAGAGGAGACACAGAATCTGAGGCAGGCTCCAGGTTCCGAGCTGTCAGCACAGAGCCCGACGTGGGGCTCAAACCCACAATCGTGAGATCATGACCTGAGCTGAAGTCGGCCACTCAAATGACTGAGCCACGCAGGCGCCCCTTGCCTTGGCCTTTTATGTGTCTTGCCACATTCGAGTGCGGCCACATGTAAAACAGTAGTTAGACTGCTTTCCTCACCGCAGAAGCAGATGCACAGTATGACCCAAACAACCCACAGGGGTCTCATGGGGTTAAGAGATGCAGGGCAGCTGGGTAAACATCACCAGCTGGGTCAGAAAACCCTGCCCTCAAATCCTGCGGTGCTCACGGCTGTGACTACAGACAAGTTACCTACCCTCTGAGCCTCTGTCACCTGTGGGTAGGGACGGGAAGTACCTCAGAGACACCTGAGTGGACACAGAGCACCTGGTCTCAAGAAAGGACTCTTGTTTCCACAGAGGACGAGCATTCCACGTGTTTCCAGGCCAGCCTCCCCACGTGAGGGGTTGGGGGGCGTTCCCGGGCAGCCTCCGGGCCCGGCGACACACGGTCCTGCAGCCACGACCGTCCCCGCCCCGGCGCTGCGCCGTGGGGAGCTGTAGCAGGCTCAGACTGGCGAGGGCGCCCACGTCCCGGGGCAGGTGACAGGCCAGGGCGCCGTTGTCCTCCAGGCTCGGGAGCGAGCAGGCGAACAGGGACGTGACTCCTACTCTCTGCTCTTTGCTACAGTGACAGCAGACCGGTCAGCTTGGAAGCAGACCCCAGGACACAGCCGATGTGGGGCACCCGGGGCATGCAGGCGGCGAGCTGAGTCACGCCAGACAGGAGGAAGGTGACCTCTCAGCCCCGAGGATGCAGGTCTTTTGCACAGTGGGAGATGGAGGCAGACGCCCGCTGTCTCTTCTGGAATACATAGTTGTGGCAAGCAGCTCACTACGTTCCACCGGAACTGTTAGAAAATTATCTTTGGGGAGCCTGGGGGGCTCAGTCGGTTAAGCATCCAACTCTCGATTTCGGCTCAGGTCGTGATCTCATGAGATCAGGCCCCACGTTGGGCTCTGTGCTGACAGCGTGAAACCTGTTTGGGATGCCCTCTGCCCCTCCCCCCTTCAAATTACAGAAATACCCTTAAAAGAAAAAAAAGAAATTATTTTCAGTACAGACCTGAAATCTACTTCCCCATACCTTCCAGACTCCGGGAACCTCCCTAGGGACTCTGCCAGGTGACCATGGGCAACTCGGTGGCCCCGACCTCCTTCCCAGGCCACGCAGCTCCGGGGCCGTCAGCCGCCGAGTGCCAGCGCGTCCGGGCACCCCTGCCCTGACTCTCCCCGCAATTTGCCGAGAGCCTCCCCCAACGGCCCGGCAGCCGTGTCCACGGCTGAAGGCCGCTCCACGGAGGACCCGCCCCGGACCACGTCAGAATCGGCGGCCAGGGCTCCCCCCACACAGAAAAGGAAAGGAAGATACCGCTGAGGTTGCGTAGGAGCTTGGCTGCTCTCTCTCCGTCTGCGTCGAGGCCCTCAGCCTTCAGCTTCTTCCAGGCGAACTCCTCTCTCTCTTGCATTTTCAGGTCTGCATGGAGCTCGGACAGTTTCACGGGGGAGAGCTGGAGCTACGGAACGAGAGCAGAGGGTTTCTGACAACCGGCCACGGGAAGAACCGGCAGGACAGCCCCGGAGACGGCGACCCGAGAGAGGGTGGCCAGGAGACAACAAGACACGAGCGGCAGGAGTCAGGGTCCCGGGCAGTCAACACGTCCCACGTGCTCCCGTTCGAGAACCTCAGGGCACTGCCGCCCTGCGGGACGAGGACCACTGGCCTTCGCACGCGGAGCCTCGCCAGCCTCACCGGATGTCCGCTGCATGGCATGATCTAGAAACGCCCAGTAAGGGCCTGCCCACCGCCAGCGGCTTGAGCCCGGGGCCGCCAGTTCCTCCTGAGGACACCACGCCGGCGACGGGCTGGCTCCTGCACCAGGACGCCCCGCCTCCCACCCGGACGCTGGGGGCCTCCTTGGGGCCCCCGATACGGCGGTGGGGGGTATGCAGGGACAGAATGCAGAGCACGGGGAGGAAACCTTTCTCTTTTCCTTGCGTTATGTAACTAGGACAGAAAATAAACCGCGACTAGGGGAGACCGGCTCACTACGTTACGGACAACGTCCACATTAAAAGAAAACCAGCTAGTGAACGAGGCTCACGGATGCCCCCACCCGCAAGCCACTCGCTAATGACACCGCCACTACAAGAGGCTCTCGGTGCTGTCTCTCTGCTCCCTGACCCAGCCTGGGGTGAGGCGGGACGAGCCGCGCGGCTGTCTTAAGTGGCCCCGAGGCTCCGGAAAGAAGCCCAACCCCCAGGGAGGCCAAGAGGAGACCCAGAGCTTGCTCCCGCCTTTCCCAGGGACTTGTCAGCTCAGGCCCCGTCCACCAGCTTGAAAAACAGCCAGGGAAAGTTCCTCAGGACTGAGAAGATGGCACCAAATGAATGGCAGGGCCTAGGGCAGGAAACTCTTCCAACTCTCTAGAAGTTTCTTTGATCCTGCTCTGTGGGTTCACTGCCTCCTTTGCTGGTTGTCCTGGGGCAGGCACTAGTCTCCCCGGGACCCACACCCCTACCACGGCTCTCAAGCCCAAAACACTTCCTTTCAAAGCCTCTGGTGTGCCCCACCTAGATAACCTAGTCTCCTCAGATGGCACCCGCCTGCCCTCCCAAGCTCCACCCCAGGCCCCGTGGTCACCTGGATGCCCTCTGTGGACACTCGCAGGAGAACACCAGGCCCCTGGGGAGCTGGGGCTGCAGCCTAGCCTGACCTGCGTGCCTCCCGGGGCGGAGGAACAGGACAACGGTTTGGGGCACACTGATTTCCCAGGAAGGGCACATCGGGCGCTGGGTGGTGAGGAGTTGGGAAAGGCAGGCCTGCAGTCCACCCAGGCCGAGGACACAGCACCAAAGCCCAGGCACCCACAGGGTCTCCCCTCTGCAAGCGCAGGGCTGTGTGCATCAGGACCCACAGCCAAGGACGGCGAGGGCCTGGCTCCCGGCCCAGTGCCGTGTGGATGGTGCGATGGCACTGGCGTTCCTCTTGGGGACTTCAGGGGGAGAGGACCGGAGTGTTCTCTGACCGCCAGCCGGCTCCACTGTGGTCCCCACTCACCTCCTACTTTCTCATCTGTCCGCCTCTCCGGGACCCTAGGGGGAATCAGTGGGCCAACATCCGGCCAGGAGCCCCATGAGCTGCAGACTCGGGCCCACCTGTGCGTTAGGGTCTCGCCGCCCGTGTGACCGCACTTCAGGTTGGAAGCCTTTGGGGGCCTGAATTATGCGCTGCATCTCACAAAGATCAGTTCTGATCTGGTGCCGCCCTTCCTCCCAGATACCGAGGCCTGTTGAGTTCAGTGTGGGACGTGCCACGCGTAACGCCCCAGACACAGCAGCATCGAGTCCCACTGAAAGGGAGGAAAAGGGGGGCACCTGGGTGGCTCGGCTGGCTGGGTCTGACTCTTGATTTCAGCTCGGGTCACGATGCCAGGGTCGTGGGATCGAGCCCCGCGCCGGACTCTGCACTGAGCCTGGAGTCTGCGCGGGATTCTCTCCCTCTGGCCGCACCCACCACACTCCCAAAAAAAAGTTTTCAAAAAAAGAGCAGAAAAGGGAAAAGAATTCATATGCAAACAGCTGGCACACTCCCCAGATTCTTTTACTCTCTTTAACTTAGTTAAATGTTAACGCCTCACATGGAAAAGAACTAGTTAGCAGAAAATCAAATGCAAAAACAGAACCTGTTCAATATTAAACAGGTAAGTAAATCATCAATAATTAAGAGACAGGCAAACACACAGGAAGAAAGCCACTCATCAGAAACAAGTGATAGGTCTATGGCATTCGTGGGGAGGATGGTTTCACAGGTGTGTCCCCAACTTCAAACTTATCAAGATGAATACATTAAATGCATAGTTTTTCATACGTCAGTCGTATCTCAATAAAGGGGAAAAAAAGTCACCTGGAACCAGGGTCCACTCAAACCTCTGCCAGAAGTGACTGTGTGCAGAGCGCCATTCAAGGAGGTCTAACAGCTTCTGAGCTGCTGTCAGGACAGGGACCTTAGCTTGCCCCTCCTAAGTCCTACCTGGAGCAGAGGAATGTGGCGTGCAGAGAACAGGGGACAGGAGACTCCATCTCCCCTCCCCTTCTAGCCCTCCCACCTCTGAGGACAAGGCTTCAACACGTTTTAATCACAAGACCAGGATAAGAACCCGATAGGAACACTCAGAACGGGATCTGGCACTCCGTGGGTCTGCTCAGGGTGTGTCCCCCCACCAGGACACCAGGCACCCCTGAGCAGGGCCGACACCGACCACAGAGGATCGGTGCACATGTGGCTCCTGCCCAGAGGCACCCACCAGGGCTCCGCTCAACCCCAAAGCTCCAAGGACAGCCCTCGGCCACCCCCACTGGAGTCTTGCAACACTGGAAGATGTCACAAGACCACAGCGGTGGACACAAGTACCCTGGTTCCCATCCCCCAGGCTACAGCTCTAAGCACTGGCCTCCAACGGGAACTGGACAGTCTCACAGAAAGTCAAGACACCGAGGTGGGATGATGTAGCACGAGTGCCCCGGTGGGGTCTCCCAAGACCGGAAGGGAGTTTCAGGGTCTTCCCAAAGGACCCCCACCCCCAACCATGGCATCTGCGTGCCAAGGCAGGAATCACAGCGCCAGCGCGGGCTGCGGCCCCCTCGGTCGCAGGAGACAGAGGACGCCCCGGCCCCGCGGCCCCAGGGTTACAGGTGACAGGATGTCCCGGCCGCCGCTCACCCGCTGGGCCTTCTCCCACAGCTGGTTGAGTTTCTCCATGCGGAACTCCCCGCCAGGCTCGCGCTGCGGCGGCGGCTCGGGCTCGTTCTTCTCCCGCGAGTACTTGCCGCCGTGGCCCGCCGCCGGCCAGGGCCCGAGCAGCAGCAGCAGCAGCAGCAGCAAGAGCGGCGGCGGCGGCGGGAGCCCGCGCGACCCGACTCCGAGCCTTGACGACGCCATCTTCCTCCTCCGCCAGCCGAGACCCCCTGTCTCGAGCCCC